GGTCTGCCCACCGCCCGCCCCGGTGGGCCCGACGCCCGCCGCTGTCGCGAGCGGCACGTTTCCCCCTGCTCCGTCGCTGTAATTTGAAATTACCTCTCCCTTTCTGTAGTTCTTGCAGGATCCGGATGAAGAAATTGCCCAAATGGAAATGAACAGAAAAAAGCAGTATGAAAACCAGGTAACTGCTTTGACCTCAGGTCATGGTAGCATATAACCACATGTAACTTTACTATTATTTTACAGTGCTTCGTTACTCTTGGGAACACGGTAAAGCTGCCACGTGCTGTACAGCAGTGGTTGAGGGGGCTATCAGCCATGGATGATGAAAAGCACAAAACTGCTCAGTTCATACAGCTTGCTTTGGAGTCTTTGCAAGAGATGAGGGAGGCCTGCATTGGTCTAAAATGTTAATACTTCAGCATTTCCAACTTTCCTGGGATTGTAAGGGTTCAACTTACAGAGGCCTTAATATGCACTTAATTCTACATGGGGAGACCCTGTACTGACTCCTCTAGAGACCTCTAAGAGGACAGTGATGTGCTTACATGTGTACCTTGCAGGCCAAAGCATGAGACACTTAAGCATATGAACAGAATCATCTCTTGAGATGGAGCTTTTTGCGTCCATGTCTATACTTAGGCTGGGAGAGGGGAAAGATCGTTCATTCTTTTCACCTTCTGCTCCGTTCCTGCTCAAAAATATCGTCGTCAGGCTGCCAGAAAACAAGGAGTTACTGATTAGAGCTTAGAAGTTTATAATATTAGATGCTAATGTCGTGGTGAAGTGTTAGGCTCGGTCCCTCTAGAGCAAAAAGGGATAACTTCTATAAAACCACTTAGGCTGTGGAAATTGGGCCAGTAAGGGGAGGCTGGTGATGACCATCACCAGTTTCCTAAATAGGATACTCTGAATGATCTGAGGTAGGAAGTCAAAACTAACTGTCACCTTAGGGTCCTCTTCATAGTCTTCAGACATGACATGCACGATGCTTTCAAACATTGAGATGCCTGCTCTAAATAAAACAGCAAGATTAGCCTACTTTCTGAAATGGGTTTATCCCCTGTCTTAGGGCATGAAGAAAGACTGCGCACTTGCATGTACACATGCACGCTCTGTCACTAGGACTTCAGCCAGTTAATGCGCATGCGGGATGATACTCACACTGCAAAAGTCATGATCAGGGAGTTCAGGCAGCGCTCATTTGGTACGCAAGGCTATGCATAATGTGGCACATCTAACCAGAAGTGGCAGCTGGAAGTTCTAAGTCTAAAGTGCTACCATAACAGATGGGCATCATTGTTTGGAATGGCCTCTGCTTGTTGCAACTGCGTATACTAGTTATCAGTCAACATATTAAGCAGGGCTCAAATGGTGAGCATTTAATGAGAGGATCTCT